TGACAAAATCACTCTTTTGGTCCACTTTTGTAAGGTAACCATATCATTGTTGACATATTTTAGTGTCAGAGCACTGACTGAACATAATTAGATAACTTGATGCACAAAGGGTGTAATTATGTTTTTGAAAATATGCTCAACCAATCGGTAGAATTGGCCTTTTATGGTAAACTAGCAATAGGACTTTTTCAGAGTTTCAGAGATGTTTTCCAATAAAATATGGTAAATAAATGGCTAGATTCATGGTAATATTACTACATCTACTGCCTTATGAGTCTCAGAGTGAAAGAGTGATACTAATTTATATAGCACCTTTCATGCATGGCATTCAGCCCAAAGTTGCACACAGATGAGCAAGTTAGGCCAACACAGGATAAAGACATTTGCTGTTAGGCCAGTGGTTTCTTGTTTGGCCAATTCAGCATATACAGTAAGATTAGCAAGTCTGTTTTTTATTATGAAAAACACTTTACATTACTTTTTTCCATTTTATTTATTTTTACAATTATAATTTATTATATTTTATGAATATATCTGGTTGTATATATTGCTCATTTTCCATAAAAGAAAAAATGTATTTCAGTTTGTGTCTTATTTGAGTTTGATGCATACAAATACTGTACTGTATGATGATATACATAGATAGATGAAAATCAGGCCCGGTTCCAGAACAAAATGACTCAGGGTGCATCTGAGATTAGAAAGGGTGCAGTGGTAAAGTGCTATTTTTACAAGTGGGGAGTGGACCTAACACCCTCTAGGGGGGTCCTCACCTCCTCTAGGGGGGTCCTCACCTCCTCTAGGGGGGTCCAGGGGCATGCTCCCCCGGGAAGATTTTTTTTTTTTTAAATATTGAAGTTAAAAGCATCAATCTGGTGCACTTTGAGAGCAAAATGAAGAGATCTATGGATACATCTCTCAACATCCATATGAAACAGAACTGTAAACAGATTTACTTTTTCTTTATGGATATTTTACAAATCACTCCCCTTTTGAGACCGAAATGTCTACATGCATAGCAGAAGATGGCATCTTTTTTACAAGAGTATTCCAGCCAATCTCTGTTTTGAAACCATGAGCTGCAAAATGAGCTCCTTACCCCACGGTACAGGCTAGTTGGGTACTTTTTTAAATATACCTGGGAAGGCTCTGTTTTGCCGAGGTCCTCTGGCACTTGCGGGCCGCTGAGGGGTGGCGGTGTTTGGGGCAACGAAGACGGCTGCGGCTGCTCCGCCTCCGTGGGCGAGGCGGGCAAAGCCGGCGAGTCGGGCGGGAGGACGTTAGTGTCCACGACAGTGGCCGCGGGTAACGTAATGTCCCCATGATCTGAACTGTTATTACCTGCAGTAGATGCAGTGTTACTGCTGGCGATAAGGGCTGGTTGTTTTAACCATTTTCTGAGTTCCATCACTGACTGCTGTGTAAGCACCTTGCAGATGACGAACGCGCAGCGACACAGGTCACGCGCTCCTGACATAATAACGTTACTTACCGTTTAAATTGACCAAATAAATGCAGCAGACAATGTTATTTAACCACCATTTATTTTATTTCAACTATATTCTTCTTCTTATTATTATTATTACTACTCCTATTATTATTATTATTATTATTATATATGTAATATTTTTCATTTTTGAAATGAGGGTGCATAACGACTCAACTGAGGGTGCAATGTACCCTTATGCACCCCCGTAGAACCGGGCCTGATAAAAATGCACTTTACCATAAAAGGCCAGCTCGACCAGTTGGTAGAGGCTCATAAAAACAAAACTGTGTGCTCAGTCAAAAAAAAAAAAGGTTTGTGGTTATTTGTGGTTATTTGTGTCCCATTTGATAGAAAAATGCAAACAAATAATTGTTCCATGGTCTGGTAGTTAAACATGTAAACACGTCATAGTAAAAGCAAAAAAAAAGAAGAAGCACATTATACAATTACTTCATACTCCAAACCTGCAATACCTGAGTTTGATAAAGATTCATGCATTACTTAAAGGTGGGGTAGGTCATTTTGGAGAAACCAGCTCGAGTGCTAGAATTTGAAAATACACAGCCGGAAGAAATCTGCTACTTCCTTACAGAGCCCCACCTCCAACACACGAACATGCACATGACCAATGAGGGCACAAGATACATTTGTGCACAGATGGAAGGCTGGCAGGCAGGTAGGCCATCCAGTTATTTTAGCCGGGCCGGCTCAGATGATTGGTCGTGTTTTTTACAGCACTACGGCTTCCACAGATGACATTTTTTAATGGATTTTTTGTCAAAGCACTTAAGATTTATTGCTATCGGGATGTTAAGAGCATTCCATGGAATATAACAAAAAGTGTATCTCGAGCCGATTTCTAAAACTTGTAAAAAAAAAAAAGTATTTTTTTAACCTTTTAAATAAACAATTTCCCCTGAAACACTATTTATAAAATCAATAACCTATAGGTCAAAGTTTTGCAATACGACCTAAAAACTTCTACTTTCAGTATTTTTGTTTATGTGGGGTTTGTGCTCCCTGGCACTGCATTCAATATTATTTTCAGCTGGTGGTGCTTTCTTGCAGACCCTGAACCCCCCCTCACAAAATACGAGCATACGGGTAGAGAATAGATAGCTAGCCCTTGAGCAGAGCATTTGGCACCGTCTTCAAGAATCTCTCGGAGATTTGGAGCCTCCCCTGCGGATTGCACATTCAGACTTATGATTCCTCTGCACTGCCGCTCTCTGTATCTGCTTTTCACACATAGAAAGGAAGTTATGTATGGTACACAAGCTGCACAAGTGCGACCAGCTCATTAAGCAAACAACAGAACAAGATAAATGTGTGAATACATATCATGAAGTGATACTGAGAGGTAGTGCGGTATGCTGTACAGTGGGTATTCAGGTAATAAAGCTTTCATTGTGTCTCGCTGTGCAGGTGCAGGTTAGAGCAGAAAAGAAGAGAGTGTAGGGTTGGTTGCTGAAAAGCTGTGATGAGTGAGTGGAAAGGAAAGGCAAGGCAAGTATTTATAGAGCACTTTTCCGCACAGGGCAACCCAAAGTGCTTTACAAAAGAAGACAAAAGACATTTAAGAACAGTATACAGATGAAGCACATTATAAAAAGGCATTTTAAAAACAAGCATTTAAAAAGCAAAGATAATAAAATCAACACAACAGGTATAAAATACATGGATAAAAAGCCATACTGCAGTTAAAATGTGAACAACTCATCCAAATGCAGCGTCAAAAAGAAAAGTTTTTAGTCTCGATTTAAAAATATCAACAGTTGCAGCTGACCTGCAGGATTCAGGGAGTTTGTTCCAGATGGTCGGGGCATACAAACTAAATGCTGCATCTCCTTGTTTAGTTCTGACTCTTGTAGCAGAGAGAGCAGACCCGTCCCAGCAGAACTGAGACTCCTGGATGGTTCATATTTTTGCAGGAGCTCGTTAATATAAGTTGGTCCTAAACCATTTAGTGCTTTAAAAACCAACAATACTTTAAAATCAATTATTTGACTGGAAGCCAGTG